CCCCTCCCCCAACCCCTGAACCCCTCTGTCCGCCCGACGCCGAACTCCTCCTGGCCCTGGGCTGCTGGTCTCTGTAAGCTTCCGCGGTCTCTGCTCAGAAACCATCGACGACCCAGTCCCTCTGAACGAAGTCCAAACTCCTCGGCAGGCCGTGCCCTGGCGCTGCCACCAGCCCGGGCTCAGCGCCCCCACGCCCGCCTCCGCCCCCGCCCCTCCTGCCCCTGTGGTGGGGCGTAGCAGCCCCTCTCCTGGAGCACGCGGGTGCTTTCCTACCTGCCTGCCTCCCCCTGAGCCGGTTCCTCTTCCAGGCCCGCCATTGCCAGCACCTCCCCCCCGCCCCCAACAGCTGCTGAAATGGGACTCCTGCCCGCCACCTTCGCCCCCAGTGAAAATTCAGCGTGCTGATGGCGGTGCAGGAGGCTGCGTCCCACGAAGCACTCTGCAGACGTAACGTGTCGGGTCATGAGACTCCCGTCCATCCGGGCTGTAGGCGCTGGAGACCAACGGCGGCATCTTCATTTCTGCCTCCTCCTCCACCCCCAACATCAGAGCGCAGGGCAGACAATCGTTAGATACCGTGGACTTTTCGGGGAGGATGCCGGGCCCCAGCCCTGGGTTGGCCTGCCCTCTGGCCCGAGGCAGCGCCGGAAGCCCCCCGCTAACCCAAGGTGGGGGTCTGAAGGCCTCTAGGAAGCAAGCCAGCCCTCAGCAAAGGCCGCCGAGGCTGGGTGATTTTTTCTTTTAGGCCTGGAGAGGAGGTGTCAGCTGCGATTTACGGAGGAGGTTGAGATTCAGAAAAAGGGCTGGGAGAAAATCGCTCAGCTGCCTGTCTCATAAAATGAGAACAGAAAAATTACTGGACAGTAAATTTAGAACAAATAAGAAGAAATATTTCTTCGTGTTGTGCAGAGCCAGCGCAGTGGGGGAGGGGAATTGGCGGCTCCCCACAGATAAGTAATAGACAGTTTTCTTTCTTTCTTTCTAAAGAGCAGCATGATTTTATGACCAGTGACAAGTGTGCCGTGTGTGGTTTGGCGGAGGAGAGGATATTAACCACAACACACCTCCCTCTGCCCAGTCCAACTGTGCCTGTTCTGGGAATGATGGGCCTGAGGAAGGAAGGCAGTGATGGCCCAGAAAGTTCCACGAAGGGACCCAGGACCTAATTCAGTTATGTAATTGAATAAATATTTATTGGATATCTGCTCTGCGCCAGGGCATGTTGAAATAGAAAGAGCCCTGAGTTGGGTGTCAGGGGAGTTCTAGTCCTTCCCCTCCCATTAAGTAGCTGTGTGGTCTTGGGCGAGTCGCCTCACCTCTCTGGGCCTCAGTTCCTCCATGTATGAAATACAGGGTAACTATGTCTACCTTAAGGGTTGTGGTGAGAATCGAATGAGATAACGTATTGGTAGGTGTTTTTGTAAATTTCCGCAGTAAGGACAGTGATATCTAACATTTCTGTAGGGTCTTCTGAGTCCTTGCCCTCACAGGGCTTACGGCTTAGTTCATGAGGCCAGCAGGGTGGAGGGGCTTCCCTCCAACAGCAGACAGCTTTCCAGAATGCCAACTCAAAGGCGTGAGCCACAGCCACTCCCTTGTGGGTCCCAGCTTCTTCTCTGTCCCCTTCTTCTCTGTCCCCAAGGCAGACACCTGTTCACCTCCTTCCCTGAGCCACTTGTGCACCCTGCTCCTATCCCCACCACATTCAGTCCTCAGGGCAACCATCGGCAGCTTCCTAAGAGGCATTTAATGGTGTTATGTGGTGGCTGCTTTCCTATACAGCTGGAGAAGCTGTTTTATCTCATGCTTCCTGCCCTCCGCCCCAGATCCACAGCACCCAGGAGAACCCCAGCATTTGAAAGGGGACCCAGAGACTGACTGAGGGTTCTCAAACAGACTCTCAGTCCTGGCTGCATGTTAGAATCGGCCCAGCCCCTCCCCACCGGGTTCTCATTTAATTGATCTGGGGTGGGGCCTGGGCATGAGCATGGGCCAGTGCACTGCCAGGGCTGAGGTTCAGAGCTGCAAAATCACTCGGGTGCAGCCTTCCCTAGAGATGCACTCGTGCCCTAAAACAAATGTAAATGTCACAGTCAGGCAGAGAGGAAGAGTGAAATCAAAGCCTCAGTCCTTCTGACGCACTGTAACTTTTGTGTATTACTGAACTTCTCCTCCAAGCCTCGGTTTCCTCATCCTCGGTTTCCTCAAAACTGGGATAATAATACGACCTATCTCGTTACGTGGCACTGAGAATTAAATAGGATAATTATTACGAGGTGGAGGACCATGTAATAAGTGCTCCATAATGTCAGCTATTTTTGTCACCGTGATTTTTTTCCCCAAATCACCACCAATACATTTCTTTGAGAGAGAAAGTGTCAAACCATATCAGGAAGTTTTAAACTAGGTAGGACTAGAGCCACCAGTCTCCCTAACTTCTGGGTGTTCACAAGGCACACCCAGGTAACTAGATCAGAATGTGAGGGGTCACCGTTACACCGACAAGCATTTGATGAGGGGGATGCATTCTGAGCAGTCACATGATTTCCCATTCAGAAGGTGCTGCCTTCAAATCAGAAAAGTAGTGTTGAGGAAAACGAAGACAGAACCTAGCAATAGCCTCCTAGCACAGGTCTGGATGTGATGGCGGCCTCGTGAAAGGGGATCATGCCCTATTTACAAACAGGAAAGTGATGCTCCCAGCTGAGTGCAGGAGGAGAGCTGGGGGTGGAGTCTGACCCCAAGAGCATTTTCCCATCCAACCTGGGATGGAACACGCCATTCTCTGGCTCCCTGCACAAGGCAGACTCAGCAAATCTGAGAAGAAACAGGATTCTGCCCCAATTCTCAACCCCACCCTACCTTTCCCAGGTCTAACAGGTGACCCAGCCCACTGGGCACAGCCCCACCCACACCAGAACCCTGCATCTGGACAGACACATGGCAAATATGGAAGCTGAAACCCAGCTGGGCTGGAGCACACCTGGGTGCTGCTGGGTTGGGGTCATCTTGCAGGTGCCCCAAGATGATCAGGCCTCCCCCACGGTGGCCAGGCTGAGTCAGCATGGTTTTTTGTGGGGTTTTTTTGGTGAGTAAGATTGGCCCTGAGCTAACATCCATTGCCAATCTTCTTTTTGCTTGAGGAAGATTGTCCCTAAGCTAACATCTGTGCCAATCTTCCTCTATTTTGTATGTGGGATGCTGCCACAGCATGGCTTGACGTTTGGTGTGTAGGTCCGCACCCA